CGGGGCGGGGGGCACTCCTGCCGATCCCGTAAGATGGCTGTCGTATAATAGTCTTCCCATTTTTTTTCATTATCCTCGTCTCAAGCACCAGTCTAGGGTCTCTTGCATTCTTTTTCTCATGCACTCGTGGCGTTTACGCAAAATGTGAGTCACACCCCATGAAGGCACTACTTATGGCCCTGGCGGGGAGAGGGGGGGGGCTGTGGGTTTNGGGGGGGGGGGGGGGGGGGGGGGGGGGGGGGGGGGGGGGGGGGGGGGGGGGGGGGGGGGGGGGGGGGGGGGGGGGGGGGGGGGGGGGGGGGGGCTGTGGGTTTCTTTTATCTTTAGGCAGTGAAAAAAGCGGATATTAAGAGGGAAATCGTACTTGAGGGGGATCGTACATGTGGGATCTGCGGAAAAAAAGTGAGAGAAGATTTGCCGAGATGAAATCATCAAATCGTCGTTTTATAAAAGAGCTATACTATCGGCGAAAAAACAAATAGAAAGTTCAATAGAAATTCAATCGAATTTCCCAGCGAATTCGCGAGTTTTTCATAAAATTTTTCGTCCGTGCCTCGTCGTTTTAAAAAATTGTCGGTCCATATTCAACTGGAGGGACGTCTCATGGAGCCAAAAATAATCCGTAGAATACAGCGTTACGACTTCTTTGTCCAAGAATTTATGATTTTAACGGGTCTGCAACGCATTGAACCAAATCCCAAAATTCCTAAACCAGTGAAAAAGAAATATTTTAACTGCCTACGAATGCCTTCGTAAAGCTGTCAAGAATATTCAAGCGTTTCGAGGAATCCATGTCGACATCAACAAACTGGATAACAATATCATTCCCGAAATCAGAGGGTCATAACGATCCGCAGTAGCTAGTCGCTCGTATGGATTAGGCATTTTATCAACAAATGTCTTTCTCAAAAGGAATAATTCCCGATATACCTTTTACAATAATTGATCAAAAAAATGTTATTTCGTTTTCTGCGAAAATTGTTCCGAATATTCATGACCTAGCGATGACTCAAGCACTTGTTGCTTCGTAAAATTACCATTGAGTGCCGAACGACTGATAGCGATACTCCACGATTCTGTTTTTCATTTGTGCATTTGATAGTTTATGGTAAATTCAAGAGGCCTTGAGAATAAAAAAAACTACTGAAATGCGGCAAGAACTTTGTGCTATGAATTTTCAGACAAAAGTGAATGGTAAAATCTGAATGGTGGCTTAAAAAATTTGTTCATTTCATAGAAATCGAATGAAGCGAGTTGATGGTGATTTGAAGCTGATGAATAATTTTAAGAAATGTTTGAAAATGCGAGGTGGGGGCGCCGCCATCTTTGAAGTCTCAAACGGCTGAGGAAGAAGGTACTTAAGGATATCCAAGTATCTTTTACAGTTTGGTACAGACCACACTATAGATTCAACTATTTTCAATCATCAAATTTGTCAATCAAATTGCGTGAGAAAAATATGAAAAAAATCATGAATATTCAGTGTCATTCAAATTTCATTTTGCACAGAATAATTATTTTTTAAACATTCGTTGTTTATCAATAAATAATTAAAATTGTTTAAACTTTCGGAAACCTTTTTTTAGGCATGAAATCGATTTATGGTAAAATTCTGAATATGAATAAATTTGTGACGATTCCGAACAAATGATTTTTATGGTAGAAAATTGATTGTTTATAAATTATTTATAGAAAAGGCTCATAATTTTCAAAAATTGCAACTCTTTAATTATTTCATCAATCTTCCTCCAAAAGGAAACTTTCTAAAATTTCTTCAGATTTTTATAATGTTTTCTAACAGTTCAATATCTAGATTCAAATTCAGACCTGCAACGTTTAAATAATAAAATCTTTGTAAAATGTCCGGAAACTTAGGGTCAAATGGGGCTCAAATGAAAGCTGTGAGGCTCGACTACAAAAATAGAAAAGCATTTCACTGGAGAAAAAATGGTCAAAGTACTTGGATATCCTTAAGCAAAACCTCCTATTTTCGAACATCTCTCAAAATTATTTATCCTCCTCGGATAACCTTCAACGCGTTTCACCGATTCGGCGAGAAAGAACAAATGTTTCAAGATATTCTTCGGACTTTTTCATCCCCAAATTTCGCTATGAATATCAATTGGCAGAGTGTGCAGTATCTTATGCGGACTATTGCAGAGGAGAAATATTGATATAAAAAGCCTCTGAAGTAAAAACAAGTGGAGTTGCTCTTGTATTGCATATAGTATAATTATTTTTGCTAATAAATTAGCAATATGCTTCCGAATGGTCATTTCCCTCTATCATGTATAGGGAAGGTTGGGGTAAAATGGACACTTTTGACTTTTTTAAAAATGTTAATGACGGTTTGAAATGTTGATAAAATTTAATAANTTTTTAGGCATGAAATCGATTTATGGTAAAATTCTGAATATGAATAAATTTGTGACGATTCCGAACAAATGATTTTTATGGTAGAAAATTGATTGTTTATAAATTATTTATAGAAAAGGCTCATAATTTTCAAAAATTGCAACTCTTTAATTATTTCATCAATCTTCCTCCAAAAGGAAACTTTCTAAAATTTCTTCAGATTTTTATAATGTTTTCTAACAGTTCAATATCTAGATTCAAATTCAGACCTGCAACGTTTAAATAATAAAATCTTTGTAAAATGTCCGGAAACTTAGGGTCAAATGGGGCTCAAATGAAAGCTGTGAGGCTCGACTACAAAAATAGAAAAGCATTTCACTGGAGAAAAAATGGTCAAAGTACTTGGATATCCTTAAGCAAAACCTCCTATTTTCGAACATCTCTCAAAATTATTTATCCTCCTCGGATAACCTTCAACGCGTTTCACCGATTCGGCGAGAAAGAACAAATGTTTCAAGATATTCTTCGGACTTTTTCATCCCCAAATTTCGCTATGAATATCAATTGGCAGAGTGTGCAGTATCTTATGCGGACTATTGCAGAGGAGAAATATTGATATAAAAAGCCTCTGAAGTAAAAACAAGTGGAGTTGCTCTTGTATTGCATATAGTATAATTATTTTTGCTAATAAATTAGCAATATGCTTCCGAATGGTCATTTCCCTCTATCATGTATAGGGAAGGTTGGGGTAAAATGGACACTTTTGACTTTTTTAAAAATGTTAATGACGGTTTGAAATGTTGATAAAATTTAATAATTTTTTTTTCATTGCAAAGAGCAATTCTTTCCCTTTGTGATGAGCCTAAATTGAACTGAATTGATAAATTAGTTTCTGAGTTATGAGTAATTAAAACAAAAGTCTAAAGTGTCCATTTTACCCCACTCTCCCCTAATTCATTGGTTATTCCATTTTATTAAATTGAATAAGATTTCTTTTTAACTAATATTGTCAGATTTTCAACTTAGTTGAACGCTATCATCATCATTATTCTTATTATCTCTTTCCTCTATACAACCGATTGTCTTTTTTACGGTTTCATCTTTCCCCTCCGTCCTTCGATAAAATGTCAATAGAAACATGCGGGAAAAACTTTGCGCCAAGAATTGTCATCCAAAAATGAATGGAAAAATCCGAAAAATCGTTAAAAAATTTGTTCATTTTATAGGAATCAGTTGAAGCGAGGTGATGGTAATTTGAAGCGGAATAATAATTCTAACAAATGTTTGAAAATGCGAGGTGGGGTCGCCGCCATCTTTAAAGTCCCTAGCAACTCAGGGAGAGGTACCCACCTCGTATTTTCCCACATCTCTCAAAATTATCCATCCTCCCCAAATCACCTTCAGCTCTTGTCACCCATTCCCCGCAGAAAGAACAACTTCACCAAGCTATCCCCCAGACTTCTTCACCCCCTTTACCCCGATAATTCCCGCCCAAAGCTTCCCCCGTCCTTCAGCAGTTCTCCATCACTCCCCAGGCCTCCCAAATTCCGCCAAAAAAATCCTCACCCCCAAAACCCCCGCTCACCTCTGATTTTCGTCTCCTGTGGATCCATCGCCGCGACACGTGGGTGATTCTGCTGTCCAGGTTTCTTCAGCAGAACCCCCACAACCTGCGGTGCCATCATCATCACCACGAAAATCCCAAACAAACCTCCCGAGACCCTTCACACGAGCCCCATGACCCCTCAAAATTCACTCTCTCGCCAGCACAAAAAAAACTTCACTCAATCCCCCAATCACGTTAATTACCCCCGTCACACAAACACAAAATGGCCACCATATTGTATCCACCGATAAAAGCCATCCACCAACTGTTGAACCTATTTATTTCATTCCCCTCGGCTCTCAGTTCATTCGAGAGATAATCCCCAACTCCGAGACATTTTCCCTGTTTATCGACTCCGTTTGATTGAACTCACTCACAATCGCTCCGTATTTCCATCGCACACGTGTGCTTTCTCGTAAAACCCGAAGTACAAAAAGAACAAAAGAGAAAAAATTAACAATTTTCACTCGACAGATGAACAGTTTTGTCACACAAAAACACGAATGAGCGATTATCTCTCTACATTTTAATTCAACTTCGTCCGCTGGTTCTCGCGGTCCTACTTCTCTTGTTTTGCTTCGCTAGAGAGAAATATTACAAGTACAATGTGTCTTCTGTTGCGCACCCGGCGTACGACTGACCGACAAGCGGAAGAGTGTCGACTGCGAGAGCGGAGACACTCTTATCCCCACTTTATTTTTGCTTTCGTCTTCCGTCTCCCTCGGGCTTCTGTCGCTATCGAGGGCTCTCTCTTTCTCTCGTCTCTATCTCTGTTTTTGTTACCGATTTCTTCGTCACACTTGCATTGGGGGGTTTTCGGAGGGCTTGTCTGGATGATTGAGGGGGCAGGAGGGAAATTGTCATGGTATGCTGTGCGTCTATCTTTGAGCACACGCGCTCCGCGTGCTATCAGTACGTGAAATGAGAATTTTTCTTGCATTTCATCTTTATGACGAAATCGGTAAAATAGATCGACTTCAGAGGTGAAGAAAATTGATATAAAAACCTTGGAATTTTTAGAAAAAATTCTATTGAATTTCTGGCGGAACTCTGAGACAGTTCTATTGGAGTTCTATTGAAATTCTTCACTTTTTTTTCTCTTTTTTTTCTCTTTTTGCATTAAAAAAATAAAAAATAAAGACTTAGAAAATGCGAGCCGAGGAATTTTTATAGAAAACATCTCAAAAGAATAAGCTATATAAAAAATCTAATTCAATTTTTTTTTCTATAGAATATTTTCCATTGAACATTTCCATTGAAAAAAAAACACGCTGATGCGCTGCGGAATTTTTCAATAAAATGGACTCTTTCTATAGAAATCCCTCAACACGAATTTTCCATTCACTCTTTTTTCTCTTTTTTGATTAAAAAAATTAAAAATAAAGACTTGGAAAATGCGAGCCGAGGAATTTTTATAGAAAACATCTCAAAAGAATAAGCTATATAAAAAATCTAATTCAATTTTTTTTTCTATAGAATATTTTCCATTGAACATTTCCATTGAAAAAAAAACACGCTGATGCGCTGCGGAATTTTTCAATAAAATGGACTCTTTCTATAGAAATCCCTCAACACGAATTTTCCATTCACTCTTTTTTCTCTTTTTTGATTAAAAAAATTAAAAATAAAGACTTGGAAAATGCGAGCCGAGGAATTTTAATAGAAAACATCTCAAAAGAATAAGCTATATAAAAAATCTAATTCAATTTTTTTTTCTATAGAATATTCTCCATTGAACATTTCCATTGAAAAAAAAACACGCTGATGCGCTGCGGAATTTTTCAATAAAATGGACTCTTTCTATAGAAATCCCTCAACACGAATTTTCCATTCACTCTTTTTTCTCTTTTTTGATTAAAAAAATTAAAAATAAAGACTTGGAAAATGCGAGCCGAGGAATTTTTATAGAAAACATCTCAAAAGAATAAGCTATATAAAAAATCTAATTCAATTTTTTTTTCTATAGAATATTTTCCATTGAACATTTCCATTGAAAAAAAAACGCGCTGATGCGCTGCGGAATTTTTCAATAAAATGGGCCAAAAACTGACGGAAAGTTGAATAGAAATCCAGAATTCTCTAGTACCTTATCGAATTCACGGGAATTTTTCCTCAATTCCTGATTCATCAAACTGCATATATTCTATGGAATAGAGATATTCTCCGTGATTCCGCATAACTCATGACGCGTTATACAGTACGTGGGTCTTATTCACCGAGATCTTACGGAAATCAGAACCACAAACTTATGTAGCCATTGCCAGGAGATCAGAATCCGCGTAAACGGGTCGAAATGCCTGCAGAAATTACGCCAACAACATTCATCGAATTCCCACCTTTCAATTCACGCTCTCTTGGACTTTCTCAAGGGACAGGAAGATCAAATAGGGAGTTTTGCTCGTTAGAGGGTATTTGCTTGCACTGAGAAAATATTTTTAGAAAAATTCATGTACTAGCACCATAAGCGAGTCGCAACTTGCATAGTTGGAAATGGTATTTTTCTGGCGTTGGCGTCCGAGCCGAAGGCGAGGACTGGCCAACCACACGAGTAAAAAACCCCATCGCAGCAGCCCGGGACAAGATTTTTTTGTAGTGATTTTCAAGTTGTTGAGTTTGGGAGATATGCAATACCAATTCCTGGACGGGAAATCGTGAGAAGCAGTACAGAAAAATTATTTTCCGTTATGAGAAAAAATATAATTCTACATACGGCCTAAAAAAACTTTTCTAGCTCATATGATTGTAACCCTCGCCCTCGGCTCGCGCTGCAAACTCATATTCGCCAGAAAAGTTTTTTTCGGCCCAATGATGAAATATACTATTTCGGCCGTGTGACGAACAATATTTTTTTGTCGTAACGGACATAGGCAGCGATTCACGGATGCATAGCAAAAAAAACTTAACAAATATTGTTCGTCACCGACGCGTACTGAAAAAAACTTTACAAATATCGTTCATCATATGGCCTAAAAAAAATTTTCTAGCTCATATGATTGCAGCACGGAGAGAGATGTTCAGTAAAAATTACGGAACTCGCAGTTCGCCAACCGATTACGGAATCGACTCAGAAAATTTAAGTAACGGTATCGTAATTTTTCACCGGAGATTCCGTAAAAATTATTCCGTAAAAATTACGGAACGCTCTGAAAAAATTCCGTGACAGTTCCGTAAAATTTCCTACAACCACATTTCGCTCCGGAATTACGGAAAAGATACGTAATTTTTATTGACTATTTCTCTCTGTGAGCTCGAGCCGAAGGTGAGGGAGGCTACGCGTCCGTGAATCGCTGCCTTCCGGTCGGAATGACAAAAAGGTCATTATTTGGTTTTTTTGAGGTTTAAACCGCGCATTTTATGAGAGTGATAAACACTCTATGCGAACTGATTAAGAGGATAATTAAAAACGGTTTATCATCTAAATTAAATATCTGATTCACACCTTGTTAATGATTTTAATAAAACAAAAACAAAACAATAATTTTTTTTTCACGACTTAATTATCTATTTTTTCACGACTTATTTATCTATTTTGCGGCGGTGACATTCATCCCTGAAACATATTGAGGTTTAGGTGTGTCGAATAATTCACTCCGGAAGTACTAAAGATTCCGTATTGTGGTGAGATGTCCCGTTGTCACCGTAAAAAAAATGAAATTTGACTTGAAAATTAAAACGAGATAGACATTTGCGATCCCAAGTTGCACAATCGCCTTTCTCCTCACTGTTGTGAAGATGAATGCGAATTTCGGATGTGAAATTTAATGTCAACTTTCTGTATAAATTCTGGAATTATTTGAGTTATTCTCTCCTTTAGTCTCGGCGTGAGTGTTCTTTTCTTGAATGGGGCTTTCATCATCTGAAAATACATTCCATATTTGGGGACAAAGGATTTAAGACACTAGGAGGTACAAAATCTCTTGATATTGACGCAGAAATATTTTGAATTACGAGAAGTCCTCGGTAGTAATATGAAAGAAACTACTGAAATACGGGAAAACGTTGCGCCATGAATTCTCAGCCAAAAGGGAATGAAAAAAATTGGAGAATAGCTTGAAAAATTGTTCATTTTTCCGAAACTGACTGGACAAAATTGAAGGTGATCTGAAGATGATATATAATTTTAATAAATGTTCAAAATCACGAGGTGGGTGCCAGGTGTGGCGCCGCCCTCTTGCTTGGATACTCCCTCCTCTCCGGCAAGGGAGTTTAAAGATGACGCCGCCCCCACCTCGCATATTCAAACATTTCTTACTATTATTTATTCTCTTTAGATCACCCTCGACTTGCTTCATTCAATTTCTGTGAAACAATTTTTTAACGCCATCTTTCCGATTTTCCCGTCTCATTGAGACTAAGAACTTCTGGCACAAAGTTTTCCACGCATTTCTGTAGTTTTTTTTACTCCCGAGACGTCTTAAAAGGCCATCAACAATCCCTCTCTCAGCGAAATTGAAAAATCCCCGATTGAGATTCAGGAGAAGAGACATTTCAAGAAAGAACTGCAGATGCATACAGAAATAAAGAAGAAAATAGGAGGAGAAAAATAAAAAAGCACAAAATGAGGATGCAGACGGATTGAAAAAAAGGAGTGTGGGGGTGTCTGGAGGTGAAGCTGAGAGCTACGAAAATACACTGTGTGCTTGGAAGAAAACGAAGACAAGACTGTAGAGAATGAGAGTCGAGTCGTAGGCGTGTGCACATTAGGTGCACTTTGAGGTTAAGAAAAATTGGTCTCATGGAGAAAAAAAATGCAGCAAAAACCTTGAGAAAAGATAAATGTCAGGGAAGGTTCTTTGCAAAAGCCAAGAAATACATTTCCGGTGGAGTGAAGTTTCGGAGAAAGTTGTATTTTTAAATCCATCAGAAATCACTTAAATTATTCTGCCGAATTTTTCCGAAATTCCACGTACGAAAATTCTATTGAATTTCCATTCTATTCTACTTTAATGGAAAGATGAAAAAAATAGAATGGAAAAAACATGAAAAATTTGTGTTCACGAAAGTCTGTAGAAAATCTCTCAATTAAGTTTTTCAATTCATTTTAAAAATTATTTCATTTATCAATAAAATAATTTTTTTTCGCACACTGAGACAAACAATTAGTTCTGCCAAAAAATTATATGCTCCCCTGAAGACATCTTTTCTCATGTTGAATCAATTTACTTGTGGACAAAAAAGAAAGTTTCCACTAAAACGTGATAATTTTCGTAGTAGTAATTCTTCTCGTGAGACATTTAAATGCCTTCAGATAAATACATTTATTCTTCAGAAAATTATGAGGCTCCGGTTTTTTCAAGTGAATGTTATTGAATAGTGTATATCTTTGTTCCATAAACACTTATAATTTCCACGAAACAAATAATAATTTCAAGAGGAAACTACAATTTTCTTGCCAAAAACTGTGTTATTGGCAAAACTAAATAATTTCCGAGGGGACAACTCTATTTGGGGCAAAAATATTCTTTCGAAAAAATTATATTTTTTCTTCCAACAGTTCGATTTCTTCTCGGGATATTTCTGATGATCGCGACAAAAATTTAAAGTTGGTGAAAGATTACATTTAGGGCCGACGGCCTGCCGCAGTGGGTAAGCTCGTTGCCTTTGGTTTTTTTCAAAACTTCTT